TGACCTATGCCATCAAGGTTTGTGTAAGTATATGTATAGTCTGATGTTTGAAGAATGATGAAATCACCCAATGATGCATTGTTCAGAATGTATCCCCACTGTTGAGTTATACACAATGAATACCATTATATATTCCTGATGGATTGACCCTTTATATCTCTCTTTATCTCTAGTAACATTCTGTTTTAAAATATTTTATCTAGTATCAGTATAGCCCTTTAGATTTTATGGTTGATGTTTGAATGATAGATTTTTAGGGGGTGTACCAGGGATTGAACTCAGGGGCACTTGACCACTGAGCCACATCCCCAACCCTATTTTGTACTTTATTTAGAGACAGGGTCTCATTGAGTTGCTTAGCACCTCTTTTGCTGAGACTGGCTTTGAACTCACGATCCTGTTGCCTTAGCCGCCCAAGCTGCTGGAATTACAGGCCATGAGCCACCATGCCTGGCTTGAATGGTAGATCTCTTTCTATATTTCTAGTTTCAATTTATTTATATCTTTGATTCTAATAGGTGCCTTCTTTTGATAGTATATCATGTTATAGATTGTTTTTATCCTACCCTAATAATTTCTGCCTTTTGATTATTTAATCCAGTCACATTTAATGTTATAATTTTTCATCCATAAAACTTAAAATGGATTAATTTAAGGGAAAATGGTCTTGTCCTTTAAGATTAACTAAAAAAAAAAAAACATGAATATATTGGATTAAGTTCACGAGACATAAAAGTAAGACAAAGCACACCACTTTTATTATAGAAATAAAAGCAGTAAAAAGTGATTTATCTTTTCTAATAAACAAAAATAGTAAATATAATTTAATCCTAATAAAATTTCTCAGATGCCAGACCCAAGCAAGAAAATAGTCTGACAATTTGTAGTTTGAGAGAGTTATGATTTTGGTTTTTTGTTTTCTCTGTAGAAACATAATTTCATTTTTTTAAAAAGCATTTATTTTTTAGTTGTAGGTGGACACAATACCTTTATTTTACTTTTATGTGGTGCTGAGGATCAAACTCAGTGCCTCACACATGCTAGGCAAGCACTCTATTTCTGAGCCACAACCCCAGCCCAAAACATAATTTCATTTTTTCAAGGTATATATGGGCTGTTTCCTTTTGTTTTTACTAGTACTTTCCTTATTTATTTCATAAAATACAGAGATAGTATGGATCTGCACATCTCATAAGAGCATATGCTGTAGGACTATAACAAGACAAGTATCAGGGAATATTGTCTGCTTTCCTTAATTATTAGAAAAGTCATTTGTCTCTTTGTAGGAACACCCACAGCAATATTTGTATCACAAATTTAAAATTTCCTGCCAGGCATGGTGGAACATGACTGTAATTGCAGCATCTCAGGAGGCTGAGGCAGAAGGATTGCAAATTCAAAGACAGCCTCAGCAACTTAGTGAGGACCTGAGCAACTTGGCGTGACCCTGTCTCAAAATAAAATATAATAAAAAAGACTGGGGATTTGGCTCAGTGGTCAAGTGCCCTTGGGCTCAATCCCTGGTACCAAATAATAATAATTATTATAATGGTAAAAGTAAAATAAAATAAAATTTCCAAGTTGATGGTACAATATAAAATAGGGGAATGACAAAGGGGGAAATCAATAGATTACAATAATACATCACCTAAACCACTTCTCTTATGCTACAAAGCTTTTGTACTTGATTGTCTTAATATAAAAGGATTTATTATAGTTCATATAAATAAACTGAACATTAAAACATCTCAAAGTTAAACTCTAGGAATAATAGTTTAACATTCAAACAGGGGTACAATAAGGTAGGAACACCCCTAAAGGTAATCTTTTTTGTCTAAATCAGATTATTGATAAAGATTACTTCATGACAAATAAAATGTGTTTCACCAGTAGTTCTATTCTGGCCAACATCCTAATGATTGTGGTTCCAAACTTGAGAAGAAATTGCCAAATAAATCTTCTCTTAGGCTAAATAAGACTTGGCCAAAGAGGATAATCAAGGCATCTAAGTTAAAAAAAAAAATTAAACTACTCTCTTTAGAGACAAGTGAAAAAGCATATCTATTATCTCTGGAGGATAAAAAAAAATTTAGTGTTTTACTCACTTTAAAAAAAAGCAAAGTAAACCTCAGCTTAGGTGTTCTTGGAGTCTGATACTTATATCTTGCAAATTCAAATTATAAATGCTCTTTAAAAATCTTCCAAGCCCACTACTACTAGCAAGAGTATCATCAAAAGTCACACACTTCTACACCTTATAAAAGGATTTTTTTTGTTTCAAGGATTTAGATTTCCTAGAAAGAGCTCACATTTGATAATGTCTGTCAACCATGCCACACAAAGAAAATAAATATTTCAAAAGGGTACTCTGTTCAGAAACTATTCACAGTGCTTCTTTTTGTCAGACAGTTTTACAATAGGTTCATTAATGTACATCTATCTAAAAGCCTTGAGAATTCACTCCAACAAGCATTTTGAATGAGTAGATTTCTCCTGTGGAAGGGTATTCAGTATTATTTTTTCTTGTGTTCTTGGAGGCAATGGGAATTGGTGATCAACCCTGGCAATCCACAATCAGCATCATATACCACCATCAGTTTATGTCTCTCCTCTTTCACATAGTCCAGTATAAGATATCCTTTAGCATTCTATAAACTTCTATCTTTCAGGTGCTGGTCAGATTCTTGGATTAGCTTCTTGAGCTCTGTTCCTTTGATGAACAGAGTACTTCAGTTTGCAGGACTGCCAATCCCAGGATCTTCCACAAGCTTGCAGTTTCACATATGTCACTAAATCAAATGAGTATTATAAATCTGGTATCTTTCTGAAGTGTCCTGAAGTCAACTTTGATTGTGATGTACTTGTCTCTGTTATCTTCTTCAAATTCATCAAATATTTCTTTTACCTTTCACTGAGGAGAAATTTAAACACCAAAGATCTCCCTTAATAATTTGTTTTTTATTTCTTCCCATATGGATGTTAAGGTAATCGCAGAAATCACATCCAGAAATTGCCAAAAAGGTTTGTTTCTTTGGCAAGTGCTTCACCATGTTCAGTAAGCTTCTCTTTTTCTTCTTTCACAAAGATCTAGATTCCTATATTCCCAGAGGCAATCTTTTTAAAGAGTCCTCTGACTATTAAACCATAACACATAGGAATAATGTAACACTGAGAATTAATGCAGAAGGATTTTTCAAAAAATTTTCAGAGTATCTACCAGGTTAGTACCTCCAGTTCTACACTGCATAGATCGTGTGGGGGTGGGGGTGCGGGGGTGGGGGAGTGGGTGTGTATGTGTGCATGTGCACACAGGTACTGGGATTTAAAACCAGGGCTTCTCTACCCTTAAGCTACACCTCCAGTCATTTTTATTTTGAGACAGTGTCTGGCTATGTTGGCAAGGCTTGCCTTGAACGTGCTTCAGCCCTTCTAGTAGCTGGCATTCTAGATATGTACCACCACACCTGGCTATCATATTTTTAAAAACATCTTTATTGAGATATAATGAATATGCCAGATGTTAAAATCTACAATTCTGCTGGGCATGGTGAATATAATCCGAGTGACTCAGGAGGGCAGGGGCAGGAGGATCACAAGGTCAAAGCCAGCTTCAGCAACTTAGTGAGACCCTTTCTCAAAATAAAAAATAAAATGGGCTGTGACTGTAGCTCAGTGGTAGTTCTTGCCTCACATGTAGAAGGCACTGGGTTCGATCCTCAGCACCACATAGAAATAAAATAAAGGTATTGTGTCCATCTACAACTAAAAAATATTAAAAATAAAATAAAGTAAAATGGGGAGCTGGGGTTGTAGCTCAGTAGTAGAATGCTTGCCTTTCACATGTGAGGCACTGGGTTCGATCCTCAGTACTACATAAAAATAAATAAATAAAATAAAGATACTGTGTCCATCTACAACTAAATAAATATTTTTAAAAATGAATAAATAAAATGGGGTGGTAATGTGGTGAGTGGTTAAGCACACCTGTGTTCAATCCCCAGTATCAAAAATAAAATAAAAATCCAATAGATTTGAGTATATTCAGAGTTGTACAATGAACACTACAATCTAACTTTATGATATTTCTATCACCCTGAAAAGAAACTCCATATCCATTAGCAGTTTCTCTCTGTTCCAGTCACAGCCCTAGGGAAGCATTCATCTTTCTGCCTATTCTGGACATTTCATAGAAACATACAATATGTGATCTTTTGTGACTGGCTTCTTTCACCTGACAATGTTTTCAAAGTTCATCTATGTGTAGCATATATCAGTCCCTTATTTATTTTTTATTGCCAAATAATATTTAAATGTATGAATATAACACATTTACTTATCTATTTATCAGTTGATGAATATTTGGATTATTTCTACTTTGGGGTGTTATGAATAACGGTACTATGAACATTCATATGTAAGTTTTTTAATAGAAATGTTTTCAGTTCTCTTGGCTATAAGCCTAATAGTAGAGTTTCTAAATCATACGACACCTCTGTGTTTAACATTTTGAGCAACTGATAGTCTGTTTTCCAAAGTGGCTGCTCCATTTTACATTCTAACTAGAAGTTCCAGTTTCTTTGCATTTTCACCAAAACATGTTACTATTTTCCATTTTAATTATACCCATTATAGTGGATGTAAAGTGACTATTTCACTGTGGTTTTGACTTCTATTTCCCTGAAGATGAATTATGTAGCATATCTTTTCAAGTGCCAACAGGCCATTTGTTATGGTGGTTTGTTTTTGTTTGTTTCTTATGAAAACTAGTGATATAGAAACATTTACAAAACTCAGGGTGTTTTCCAGTGCTAAGGCAATGGTTGTGATGTGCTTTTCTTTGCATACTGATGTATCATAATCTATATTCTGAATCTTCTGATATTTTGCCCAAATTCCAAGTGGCTTTGGGTTGCCTATTGTCCATGCCTAAACTCAACAAAACATGCATAAGCTTTGAAAATCATTTAGAATAATGCTATAGTTAAAGACTTTGTGGCAGTTGGGATGTGGCTCAGTGGTAGAGTGCTTGCCTATCATTCAAGAGGCCCTGGGATCCATCCCCAGCACCTCAAACCAAAAGCAAACAAACAAAAAATAATTTGTTAGATCAAGTGTTTTCTCTAACTCCTTGAGCTGCATATTGCCTGGAGCAATTATCATCTGAATTATATCCTCTTTCGTGGCATTTCCATTTCTTTCAAATTCTTCCCTTGAATAACCCTTCAGGTATTTGTGATTAGAATCATTTTGAATGTGCCAAATTGCTTGGGAATTCTTTCTACTTTACCATAGTGTCAATGGGGGTAAGAAGGAAATGGCCACATGGACCATATAGGGTATGCCACCAGAAGACCTAATGTTACTGATATCATTGATTTTGTTTTAATGTTTGCTTTTTGTTTTCTATATGCCTCATACTTTTTGTTCTTTTGTTCTTCCTTTACAGCTTTCTTTTGCAATAATGAATATTTTCTAGTTTAATACTAATTCCTTAATGATTATTTCACTATATCTTGAGTTCTTAGTGACTGATCTAGTACTTACAGTAAACATCTTTTTTATTCTTCTTATTTGATATAATTAGTTATACATGAGAGTAGAATGTATTTTTTTAAATATTTATTTCTTAGTTTTAGGTGGACACAAATATGTTTATTTTACATTTATGTGGTGCTGAGGATTGAACCCAGTGCCCTGTGCATGCTAGGTGAGCATTCTACCACTGAGCCATAACCCCAGTCTGAGAGTAGAATGTATTTTGACATACATATATGGAGTATAACTTCTTATTCTTCTGGTGGTACCTGATGTAGAATTACATTGGTTGTATAATCGCATACACACAGGATAGTAATGTCCAATTCATTCTACTATTTTTCCAATTGCCATTCCCCCTCCCTTCCCTTCATTCCCTTTTTTCTAATTAGAAGTACTTCTGTTCTTTCCTAGGCTTCACCCCCACTCATTGTGAAATTAGCATCTGCATATCAAAGAAAACATTCAGCATGTGGTTTAGGGAATGGTTTATTTCACCTAGCATGATATTCTCCAGTTCCATCCACTTACCAGCAAATGCCATAATGCCATTCTTTTTATGGCTGAGTAATATTCCATCATTCATATATATATATATATATATATATATATATATATATATATATATATATATATATCTATATCACATTTTCTTTATCCATTCATCTGCTGATGGGTACCTTAGGTTGATTACATAATTTAGCTATTGTGAATTGAGCTGCTATAAACACTGATGTTGTTGTGTCACTGTAATGCTGATTTTCAATCCTCTGGGTATAAACCAAGGGGTGGGATAACTGGGTCAAATAGTGGATGCATTCCAAGTTTTCTGAGCAATCTCTATACTGCTTTCCATAGTGGTTGCACCAATTTGCAGTCCACTAGCAATGTAGGATTGTACGTTTCCCCCCACATCAACATTTACTGTTGCTTGTATTTTTGATTATTGCCATTCTGACTAGATTGAGATGAAATCTCAATGTAGTTTCAACTTGCATTTTTCTAATTGTTAGAGATGTTGAACATTTTTTCATATATTTGTTGACCGATCGTTTTTCTTTTTTTTTAAAATATTTATTTATTTATTTTAGTTTTTGGCGGACACAACATCTTTGTTTGTATGTGGTGCTGAGGATCGAACCTGGGCTGCACGCATGCCAGTCGAGCGCGCTACAGCTTGAGCCACATCCCCAGCCCCGACCGATCGTTTTTCTTCTTCTGTGAAGAAGAGTTCAGTCCCTCAGTCCATTTATTGATTGAATTATTTGGTTTTCTTTGGGGGGGTGTTACATTTTTGAATTCTTTGTGTATCCTGGAGATTAAATGCTCCAGCTGAAGTGCAGGTGGCAAAGATTTTCTCCTATTCTGAGGGCTGTCTCTTCATGTCCTTGATTGTTTTCTTGCCGTGAAGAAGTTTTTAGTTTGATACAATCCCATTTATTGATTCTTCATTTTACTTCTTATGCCTCTTACAATCTATATCAGGTTTATATTAACTTAAATCCAATAAGATACAGACACTTTTTTCCTATGTAACTCTATTCCCCTTCCTTTTTGTGCTATTATTGTTATGCATATTATATCTATGTGTAACTCCACATACATTATTACAATTGTTAATTTATATAATTTATCTTTTAAATAAGCTGAGAGAAGAAAGGAGAGTATATATATATGTATTTAGAGCTTGTTATATCTACTTTCTTATTCACCTTTCTTTTTAAAAAAATTTATTTATTTATTCTAATTTGTTATACATGACAGCAGAATGCATTTAATTTATTTACCTTTCTTTTTTCACCTTTCTTGATTCTCCTCATTTCTTCCTATGGATTCACATCAGTATTTGATGATATTATTTCCTTAAATACAACTTCGGTCTCATATACCTCCTTTGAGCTCTTATTGCCAAATATATTACATTTCTATATATTATAGGCCTATCAATATAACTGTTTGTGTGTAGCTTTATACAACTGCTCTTTAATTCAGTTAGGAAAAGAAAGGAGAAAAAATATGTGATTATATTCTCTTTTAGAATTACCTACATAATTATTTTTATTGGCACTCTTTGCCTCCTCCCCCATGTCTTTTCAGATCCAAATTACTATCTGGCATCTGGCATCACTTGCTTTCAGCCTGAAGAAGTTATTTTAGTTTTTCCTGTAAGGCAGTTCTGCTACGAATAATTTCTTTTTGCTTCTGTTTATAGGGTAATGGTTTTATTTTGCCATAATTATATATATTTTCTAGCACTAGGGATTGAAACCAGGGGCTTGTGCATACTAGCCAAGTATTATACCATTGAGCTACATACATCCCTTGTCCCTCTTTTGAGATAGGTCTTGCTAAGTTGCCCAGGCTGGCCTAGAACTTGAGATTCTCCTGCATCTGTCTCCCAAGTTGCTGGGATAAGAGTCATGTCCCATTGTTCCCATCTTTTGCCTTCATTTTTGAAAAATATCTCTCCTGTATATGAGATTCTAGGTGACAAGAGTTTTACCTCAGCACTTTGAGTATGTTGCACACTGTCTTCTTGCTCTATTATCTCTGATGTGATTTCAGCTGTTAATTTTATTGGGGATTCTTTCTATGTGATGAATTGTTTTCTCTTGCTGTTTTAAAGTTTTTTTTTTTTTTTTGCTTTTGTCTTTAAACAGTTTGCTGTGATATGTCTGGGTAAGGATCTCTTTTGGTTTACCCTACTTGGAGCTCATTAAGCTTTTTTTTTAAAAAAAACATAATTTTTAGTTGTAGATGGACACGATACCTTTATTTTTATGTGGTTCTGAGAATTGAACCCAGTGCTTCACACATGCTAGGCAAGCGCTCTATCACTAAGCCACAACCCCAGCCCTCATTAAGTTTTTTTTTTTTTTTTTTTTTAATGTATAGGTTCATGTTTGTTTGTTTGTTTTAATCAAGTTTGGGGAAGTTTTCAACCTATCTATATCTGAATATTTTTACATTAAGCAAGAATGTTCTTTTTGTAAAAAGCTTTTTATAATCTTCAAAATAATCTTCATTTATCAACAAACTTTTCATTGTATTCATTTAACAAATTAACAGTGTTAAACTATACAACACTACCTTGTCAATCCCAAGTACTCAAATGAACCAAAAAACTGCTTTGGAGCACTGAAAGGAAAGAAAAAAAGGCTAAGAAAGGCCAACAAATATATTTTAGAAGCAGTTAAGGGGGATTGTTGGAATAGGGGTGGGAGCTTAGATTCTTGAGCACCATCAGATTTCCTCAAGGTTCAGAGGAGTTTTTCCACAAATTCTTTATTATTATTTTTTTGGTACCAGGGATTGAAACCAGGGTTGCTTAACCACTGAGCTACATCCCCAGCCTCTTTGTTAAAATATATATTTTGTTTGTTGTTAGGATCTTACTAAATTGCTTAAGGCCTTGCAAAATTCCTAAGGCTGGCTTTGAATTTACAATCCTCCTGTCTCAGCCTCCTAAGCCGCTGGGATTACAGGCATACACCAATGCACCTGGCCTCACAAATTCATTTTTTAATATGAGAGATTAAAACTAAGGAATCAAGCTGGGCACAGTGGTGGATGCCTGTAATCCCAGCAAACTTGGGAGGCTAAGACAGGAGGATCAAAAGTTCAAAGCCAGCCTCAGCCACATCAAGGTGCTAATAAGCAACTCAGTGAGACCCTGTCTCTAAATAAAATACAAAAAAGGGCTGCAATGTGGCTCAGTGGTTGAGTGCCCCTCAGTTCAATCCCTGGTACCCCAAACAAAACAAAACAAAACAACAAAACCCCTAAGTGGGTTGGGGCTGTAGCTCAGTGGCAGAGTGCTTGCCTAGCATGTGTGAGGCACTGGGTTTGATCCTCAGCACCACATAAAAATAAACAAATAAATGCATTCTGCCCCTTTACAATTACAATTACAATAAAAAAATAAAAAAAAATAAATAATAATAATTAAAAAAAAAACCTAAAGAATCAGAGGAACCTGTACTTTGGGATATTAACCAGGTAATCCAAATTCCTAGATTGTGGATGAAGTAAGTAAAAGAGGGAGAGAAAGTGGAGAAGAGGCAGAAAAGAAGAATCAAGAAGCACAGAGGGAAAACATTGTGTCTAGAGGAAATGAAGTCATAAACTCTTTGAATATTTTTACCATTGTTTTACTTATTGTTCTCATGGAGCTACAAGCTTCCTTAGTTGCTCACCACTAAAATTTCTATTGTTTTTGATAGCACCTTTGACTTGAACTTCCCTAAATTCTGTGCCCAATAAAGTCAGTCCCCTTAGGGAGGGGTACATTTCTATGGCCTGCCTCTCCCCTAGGTATAATTTCTGTACTGTTGTTTGGAACTTAGGGATAGGAATAGTAGCTCATTTCTGAGGGATTCTACAAGTAGGGTTCTAAGCAGAGGCAGTATTGAATTAAATATCCTATGAGTAGATGGGTTAGGGTAGCCAGGCCTTGTTATGCCTGCCCTGCAGTAGGCGTAAAGCTTCTATCCTACATATAGGTACTTTGTGGAAAAAGGGATCCCCAGACCTCTTT